TATATAACAGCCGGATTATAAGGAACCGGCAGAGGAAAGGAGTGGTAAAAAAGGGAAGCGTCTCCACTTACGTTACGCTTTTGCAAGGGGTGTCACTAAATACTGACAACAGCAGCAATGGATAACAATCTAACCACTGACAGCCTCATAGAGACACGACAGGCTGGACAGGACCAAAAGTAGTCTCTATCGTTTCAATAAGGCCTACTGAGAAGTATCACATGGCTTCCAATTAGGCCCATTTGAATTTATAGGCGATTTCTTCTACAGGCCACAATTGACATCGGCACCGGTCGATGGTTATGAGGTCACCGGCCCACTGGCCAAATGAGGCCACCGGTACAGCCCTAATATATATGATACGAAGCACATTAGGTGATATCCAGCTGGTCAATGACGGGGCACCTAATCCCAGCTGTAATTACATACGTACAGTTATCAGGAAATTGTGAGTATAGATTGCACCTGCAATCAAAGCGACACCAAGCTTATTCAAGACCCTCCCATCAATCAAGTACTCAAGTAGGATTCCATAGGTTCTGGTTTTACTTTTCTCAATCTCCCAGGGTAGGAGTAGGAAAGGCAGCCATGCCACGATGCAAGATTAGATCAGACAGAGGTATGACCAAAGGCTGATAGCCACCACTCAGCATTGCTTATCGGTACATACAAAGTAGGAACATACCACATGGAAAATGTTACTGGGATAATGGGAATGATGAATTTCAAGAGTTTGCCTTATCCTTATGCAACAGGGTGAATCAGGCCAAACTGGAGCAATTGCGTGTCTACAGACTTTAAAATTCCATAACTCTGACAGTAATGAACTTATCTTGATGAAATTTGAAACATCAATAAGTCAAGTCAGAGCAAATTCTTTCAATATATTTTGGCAGTTTTTGAAGCATTTTTCTGGGACACACCTAACAGAGAAAATTGAATTTGTCTCACCCGTAACGCGTCTTTGCCTTAGTACACTCAGAACATTCCTCTGCCAGACAAATACTTATTTGATTTTTTTCAAACAAATGGCACAACATTCCAAACATATTATTCATTTTCAGAATGCACTTTTATTAGAGCTGCTATTAGAGGCAGTGCCTAGCTTTGCCAAGGATTATAGGTGTCCTCAGAATTGGCACTTTTTCTGTCCCACCCGTAACGGTAGTGTCATAAATAGACGAATTGAAAATGGTGAGCTGATATTTTCACCTGAAGACGTCATCATACCTACAGGAATTACACATAATTGGTCATCATAGTTTTGATGTAATTTTGAAAATTGATTGTTTTTTGCTTTTACCCACAAATGTCAAGCATAATTGTCCCACCCGTAACACAAGTATTGCATGCTTACCCTGTTAGGTACAGGACTACAACTGCCCATGCTGACGCGCATTGCTGCGCCATGATAGGAGACAGCGTGATAAATTTGTTCAAGGTCGTACATATGAGAGGCGACATTTCAATTCAAAATTGTCCCACCCGTAACGTTTTTTGTTAACTCTTTAAAAACACAATTAAGCACTGTCATTAATTCTTTTTTGAAAATTCATGCTGTTTGGGATTGTGGATGATAGTAAAAATGCAAAATTGTTGCATCCTAAGTAAAACCGTTTCAGAGATATCATGAGACAAAGTTGTTGACAAATTGCCAAAACTATGCATACTACAAAATTTGCAACTCTTTATCTAAGAATTAACCTTCAATAAGAGATCAAATGCAAGTTTTTAAAAAGAGCTTTCTATTGATATGCAACATGTATATGATAATACAATATTTAAAAATTAATCCAATTTTAAATTTCTGCAATGTTTGTCGCACCTGTAACTTGCGTTATGGGTGGGACAAAAGTATCATATGGATGCAGAATGACTTGAAATCTTCAGTTTCATCTCTTGGGGTGGTTACTCGCATACATACTAACAATATAACAACAATTGAAACAATTTCGACCCATGGTGACCCTTTCAACACATTTTGACCCATTGTGACCTTTCCTGAATCTCACTAATAGTAGTTAGGGTTGACCAATTGAGACTCACGGTGACCCAAGGCAATCAAAAGTGACCTAACTTGGTCACTCTTTCTAAATTTTAGTAAACTTTCATAGCCTTAGGAAAATGAGGCCCAAGTTGGATCAATTGGACAATTTGGGTCACCATGGGTCACCTGCAGTCGCTCTGGATCAAATTTAGTCACTATCTCAATTTTAGCATTCTTCAGTCACCCTAGAATAATTAGGCCCAAGTTGGGTCGATCGAACAGTTTGGGTCACTTTGGGTCACCATGGGTCACCTTGGATCACTTTTGGTCAACTCTGGCTACTATTAAATAGTGAGGTTCACGGTAGGTCACCATTGATCAAAATGGGTCACCATGGGTCGAATTGGCTCACCCTGGGTCGAAATGGATCAAAATGGGTCACTTTGTGCAACTGGGAGTCAAATGTGTCACTGCTTCTATTTTTGTAAAAGTACCTAGTCCTGCCATAAATACTGTTACAAGGATTTTTTGTAATAACTCTGTTAATATAAAACATACGCTGTATTCGCTAACAGCATTTGTTTCCCTACATAATTACTAACAGATTACAGAAACATTATTCAAAATGTCCACCCCAGGCCTTCACATATGACTTTAAACGATCAGGCCACTCATCGATCACAGTACGTACCCCATCCATTGAGATATTGCCTGCTGATTTTGCAAGGGTTTGCTTGAGACTTTCAATATTTGGATGTCTTCTGTGGCAGGCCATCAGCTCCAACTCTGCCCATAGTTTGTAGTCCAGTGGGTTCAAGTCAGGGCTCCCAGATAGCCAATCTGAGGCCTTGATGAACTCGGGGACATTGTTGGTTAGCCCCTCCTGCGTTGCCTTAGCCTCGTGAACAGGTGCAGAGTCTTGCTGGAAGATCCAGTTGCCTCCATTGAACATTGTTTTGCTGAGAGGCTTCACTGTCTTCTCTAAGACATCTTCCTGGTACACCTTGGCAGATGTCTTCACTCCTTGCTCACAAAAATGCAGCTTGGTGACACCCTCATAGCTCACCACCCACCAAACCATGACGGATGCAGGATGGTGACCTCTCTCCACCTTATGAATGAATTCTGCAGCTTCCCGAAAGTTGTGGGCATGCACTTGGTCATTTTGCTGGTTGACATTTTATTCAATTGTGAAGATTTTCTCATCAGTAAAGAGGATTTTGTGGTGTCTGTTTTGTGCGTACCTCTGCAGCAACACTTTCAATCATGACCTCCTGATTTCTTTCAGAGATGGAGCATGTGTCCTGAGCTTCTTCAGTAATCACCCATCCTTTGGTTTGATTTACTCAAGCAAGACATGCTTCTAGTTGAGATGGCCATTTCCTGGCCATCACTTTCTGCTTGTGGAGAGGATTTCGCCAAATCCTGTTGCTAACTGCTTTGATGGCTCGTGGTGTTCTGGCAGTGCATGGACGAGGTTGAGGTTGAGGTTGAGGTTAAGGTTAGCCCATTTTTGGCCTTAAACCTATTTTGATTAAATTAATAGTTATGTAATTGGTTTCACTTGTGAACAAGAAATATATCATTTTTATCCAAATGTGAAGGGTTTCAAATGTTAAGTTAGGTTAGATTAGGTTAGGATAAATGATTTTGCTGTTTTCAATTGGGACTTCCAATAAATGCCACCTGCATTCTAACAACTTAGAAAGAACATCATTTTGGAAATAAACAGTGAACTTCAGCTGGGAATCAGAAAATCTAGCAAGAAAGCTGGTATGATTCATGATATAAAAATTAATGATGCTTAGATAAATTGTAAGAGTTTACAAAATAAATTCACTTACATTTTATTGATTTTTTCTTGGTAGTTTGCAGTTCCCTCCCCTTAAAACTGTTAAAAGAATGTGTTCTGATGAAAAAACTCATGCAAAATAACTTGATCATAACCGACCCTACTCTAACCTAACCTAACTTTTCGAAATCCTTCAGATTCGAGTAAAAGTGGGATTTTATTACTTTGCAAAGGACACCCTTTCAAATTATATATGACTCATTAAATTCTGTTTAAGTATCAAAATAACACTATATTGGGCATACTCTTTTGTATCAGAAGTCTGTAATGTATCCTCGTAATTTTTAGAAATTCAGATTTAAAAAAATTTCAAATTAAAAAATAAAAAGGTTAAACTTACAAGACCACAAGACTGAAAATAAGGTGTCCCACCCGTAATAAAATTTCTTTGCTGTCTGGACAATTATGCATCACAGTGAAATTGCCCTGCTTGTTTCCATTTATCTGCCAAATTTTATTTTAAAGAATGTGTGTCCCTGTCAAGAAAAATAGCCTTAATAATGACCATTGATTCATATCTGAATCTGCATGAGGATATAAGTAGGTTTGAGTAAAACATTTGTCCCACCCGTAACACATCTAAGCCAGTATTTAAAAACCGTAATGAGGTAAAATTCAGTTGTACTCATGTTTAACGTGTACATGAGACTGGAAACCCACTCCACAAGTAGCATTAAGCTGAGCTAATTCTACTTGCATCAGGAGGACTTAAAGCTTCTTGTTACGGGTGGGACATTTTTGGTGCAGTTGATTACTTCAAACAGCAATAAATATAATATGAAGGGTCCTGGAGCTCAACTGCACTAGACTTAGATGCAGGAGAACATCAGAGACAAACACAGATTGACAGAAATGAAAAGTTTTAAAGTAGAATTTTCCATTTTTGTCTCCTTGGAATTGCTCCTTTTTGGCCTGATTCACTCAACAGCATTTCTGTGCAGCATATGCTGCACCTGGAATTTTACACCTTTCTAGTAAATCACTTAGTTTAACATTCAATGCACCCTTCACTTCCATCTTGTAATGAAGCAATGTATCACTGTGGGAAAATTCTAAACTTCCTCCAACATTATCTTATTTTACAATGACAACACATTAATTAATAGAAGCCATTATAGGAGAAGTGTAATGAATATAACTACTGGATGAAATCTCGAGAACCTTGTAAAGAGGTGGGAAGGCAGTGGCAGCCTGAGCAACACTAGCAGATGAGGGCGCTGCCATGAGAGTAGTAATTCCAGACTGCCAATGTTCTTGAGCAGATGTCTCTTCTGAATTTTGAGGAGAAAGAGTGGCTGATGGAGCTGCATCCCTAGGCGAAGTCAATGATGCAACATCAATTCCTCGACTCATCAGACCTGGCAGACATGGAGATGCATTGCAGGGTGTCAAGTCTCCCATATCCCCTTCACTGCTGCTCTGACTACAATGTGAAATACATTGAGATCGCACACACAGAAACATGCCTTCAGAGTCAAGAGAATGGGCACAAGAGATCCCACTCACACATATGAGGAATCTGAATCCTCAGAGGGTCTTCGAGCCCGTGTTGGCTGAAGTGAGAGGGAATCAGGTGGTTTTCGTATGTGATCATCAGAACCACCAGTTTCATCATCATCAGATGAAGTCTCTATGGTATGATGACTTTCCTTGCTGATGACATTCCCCTCACCCATATTTACCTTCTCAGTTTCTCTTCCAATTAGAGCCAAGTCAGGTATGCTTCTTTTCACCCCCCAATTGAAGTTGTCATCACTTCCATCCTGTTTTCAGAAGATGAAACAGATTAGAGCACACTTATTCTTTGTCTGGTGGTAAGGTGCAAAAGCACCCAATGTGCCTTACCTCACTCTCTTCGTTGTCAAGGAAATCAAAATCTTTGAAAACAGTAAACTGGCCATCAGTGCCAGTAGTGTCTTCAACATGAGATTCATTTCCTGATGCCTCCATGTTTGACATCTCCTCCATACTGGAGGCCATGCTTGATTGGTGTTCCAGGAGTTCAGATGTCTGGCTAAAGATGACCTGCAGCAAAAGAAACCACATAATTTCCCATATCTTAAGGCAAAAGCTTCCCTGTATACCCAAAAGTGCCACTAGCAAAAAACAAGGCAGGAGTGCAGAAACATTCTTCAATAGGTGAGACTGAGATCAATGTGGCAATAAACTGCTAGTTGAAGTGTTAGGATGCTGAAGGAGGAATAACCTTTACCTTATCACATTCCTGGTGAGAAGAAGCAAAAGATGGGAAAGGGCTCTTACAACACGTCACATAAGGTGGAATGAGTAAGTAATATAAATATGAACTCACTGAAGGACTTTTGGGCAGACCGACACGCTGGCCACAAGAATTGAGAAGATTCACCAAACATTCCCTTGTACGAGACTGGACATTACAGGATGGAAGATGAATAAGGAAAGCCTCCAAACATAAGGAATGGTTGCCTGACAAGATAGTTTTCACTATACCTGAGAAAGCCATGGTCTCTTCCAGCCAGGAACTGGAACAACATTATCAGCAGCAGTCTGGGAAGGAGATCTCTTTGGTGTGACTGTTCCTTCCTCTCCTTTTTTCTTCCCACTCTCCTTTGCCTTGAATCGTCTCCCAATGATGGGAGTTTGAGATACATCAAAGCTGAAATCCATCGTCCTCCCTGCATAGGAAGGCTTGACATCAGATTCTACATTGCAGCCTTGAGTCATTATGGATCAAAACGCACCAGGAAGTTCCTTTTTGATAGCCAGAGGAGTCTCCACATAAAGACCAGACTTGATCACAAGCCCTGTAGTTGTGTGATCCCAAGATCGACTGTGAAGATGGGATGGAGGCACAGCCAATACTGAGGAACGAGTGACAACCAGCTTAAGGATCTTTAGGGCCTCCTTCCACAGTGGACCCTGCAGAAGATGAATGAGCTGGTAATAGAAATGATGACTTCATGCAACTTGTTTTCCACACATTCATAAAACATAAGGAAACTCATTCCTCTTAACCCCCCCAAGCTAAAGCCATATACGAGGATCATTCGATAATTATTGGCAACACTGCAGCAGTGCAACGCTCCATATTGGAGTTGGCAGGAAACAGCCTGTGTGTGAAAGAGTGAATCACGCTACATGCATCAGTCTGTTTTTGCAAGTATACGCTCATTGTTAGTGCTGCAACAGTGGTATGAAACATTAGTTGTCACGTGAAACCGC